TGAGAGAGAGAGAGAGAGAGAGAGAGAGAGAGAGGGAGGGAGGGAGGGAGGGAGGGAGGGAGGGAGAGAGAGAGAGAGAGAGAGAGAGAGAGAGAGAGAGAGAGAGAGAGAGAGTATTTAGTGCCTCAGAATCTGGGGAGGTGGGGGGCCACGGGGGTGGAGTTGGGAGACAGGGATGGGACTGGGAGACATTTGTGAATACTAAGTAGTCTTGCTGTTCCAGGGGGAGCAGTCTCCCTAATCAGATAGCCTACACCATGAGTAGTTTTTTTCCTTTGAATCTGATTGTTCCTGCACTGATTTTTTCCAAACAAGACTGGAATTTCAACTTGTCTCTCTCCGATTGGAAGATACAACCTACAGGGAAACATTATCAGCTCAACAGACACAGCCTGGATAAGACCTCTGTGAGCCAAGCCAGGGAGAGGCCTGGTTCCTAGGCCATCAAAAAGGGACAGCACTCTGTAAACAGGTTTGAGCTTTGTGGGAATGGCTTGTGAATCTATCTAAGCTGTAAAGGTGCCTTCCTGCTTGAGGTAGCACCACGTGCATTTTGGAAACTATGCTGTAACAATGATGAAGATTTCCAAGCTCTACGGGCATACTGAAAAAAAGACCTTCCTTGTGGCCTCAAATCAGTCATGACAGGTGCATGTTTTCAAGACATACTCTTGTGCAACTTGAAGTAAATCACAAGGTCACAAAAGGCCTCGGAAAGGAAAGATGATTCCTATAGTGTGGATATTCCTGCCCATTCCAAGTCAGGCTACTTAGAGAGTAAAGGTGCTGGAAACAGTGAGCTCCTGAGTAGAAACTGCTCCTTCTTCCCTTACATGATGAAAGCCACGCTTGACCTGAGGCAGCTTGAGCTCTGCCAAGCTTCACCTTGCAAACATCAGAACTGGATCTCGTTGGATCAAGATGACTGTGGTCGCGGTTTTAAGGCTTCTTTAGTCTTCTGTAATGCCAGTTGGCTTGCTTGTGTCTGCCCAGGGACAGATGGGAGCTGGTGATGACTTGGTGCTGGTGAAATAATGATTGTCCCCCACTCAGCCTGCACTGCTGTAAACCCTTCAAAGCAATCACACTAAGGACTGGAGAACAAAACGCAATGGTGACAAAGACCCACACTCAAAGGACCATTTCATCCAAGTCTATGCCATTGACGACCCGCCGACCCTCTGATGATCTCACTCGACACAAAGAAATGAAGAAACAACAACAGAAAGCTACAGGTGGAATGCAATGACACCAGTCGTGCAGCAGGAATGACAAGAACCTGTCCAGTCCATTTAGTCCTCGAATACTTCCAAGAACAGAGGCGGGAAGAGCTCCGTGGGGCACTCCACCTTCATGTGGAGGAAGCGGCTGGCATGGCAGGCTCCAATCATCCGCAGGTCTGTCACCTTCATCAGGAGTTTGGGCCAAAAGTGTGTCACATGGTGCTTCCGGTAATTGATATAGTGTTCAAAGGCCAACAGGAAACTGTCTTGGTATTTCTCAATTCTCTCAACACAGGCTAGCCCTGGGCGATCTGAGGGGAGGAAGAAGAGGGATATGAATTCAGAGGTGGAAGGAGTGAGCTTGTCTGGCTCAGTTACAGGTCTGAGGACTTCACTGCTCCTAGGAAGGTGTAGGAAGGCAGCTTGGGATGTAGAGTACCAGACACCAAGGTGACAGTTGAGGTGGATACTCTGATGGGGAAGGGGCACAATGCTGAGGTGGATATGTAGAGTGAAAAATTATAGATACTGGGTATATAGAATCCTTTTTAGACATATAAAATATTCTTTAGGCTTTCTTTATAAAGACATGGAGAAACCGAGCCATGAAGCAAGTTAAGAATGTGGAAAGACCAGTCACCATTACTGGAACTGGCTGACCCGCAAAGAGAAAGGAAAGAATGCAAGTGAACTAGGTGGAAACAAGCTGAGATCCAAGCTGGTAACCGCAGTGACAGGGCAAGGCCACAGTGACAGGGCAGGACTACATTCTTGAGAAAGATAAGCGTACAGAGAGTTTTCACCTGACCCTGACTCATGTAGGTTGGGTTCCTTTGGAATGTTCCACTATTTTTATGTTATACCACCCTAACAACCCCCTCACCCCCTCCTCATTCCTTGGTTTGTGGTTTTTCCCTTTACAAACCCCTCTCAAACTGGCTGTCGGGGTCAATTCAGCTCCTGCGTGGGTATAAGAATTGACTGGCAGCTAGCTGTCACGCCCTAATAAACCTCGCAATTGCTCTGATTCACGGTGTCTCGAGCAGATTACTGGGTGGCCGCGACTTTCTGAGACTTGAGTGAGGGTCTCCCCTCTGCGGAGGTCTTCAGATACTCTGGTGGGGGAGAGGTGCAGTGCTGAGGTGGACACTCTGGTGGGGGAGGGGTGCAGTGCTGAGGTGGATACTCTGGTGGGGGAGGGGTGCAGTGCTGAGGTGGACACTCTGGTGGGGGAGGGGTGTGCGCTGCTTCTGGGCAGCCACAATGTGAGCAACTTCATTTAACCCTGTGCTTTTTATCATGATGCTCTTCCTCACCACAGGCATGAGAGCAATGGGACCAGTCAGCTGTGGACACAAGCTTCTGGAACCATGAGCCAAGGTAACTCTTCCATCCCTCAAGTTGGAGTTATGGAGTGTTTGTCATAGTAATGTAAATCAGATATATTTGCTATCTCTACCTAGTCTCTCTTCTTCCTGGCTTATTTGGGAGGAAACATCTTATCACACAGTACTAAAATCCATTTTCCATAAGCCGATGACAACTATGAAAACAAATGCCTGCAGAAATACTTGCTAAACAATACAAGCTTCTTTATTAAAGCCAAAGGTTCTTGCTGAAGATTTTGGGCCCTTGAGCACTTTCTTGTTAAAAACAGGGTAGTAAAGATTGGAACAGTGTTAAAGTCAGACTAGTCTTCCATTGACTCTTTCTGCCTTATTTTGGGCATACAATCAAAAGATATTGCAGAAGAAATAGCTTCCTCCTTGTGTAAATCAACATTATTTAAATGTGTCTTTGTATCAATAATGACTTAGCTAAAACTTGCTTTCATTCCCTCCATGACTATAATTCCCACATATGTTCAATTTTAGTACATATTTTAATTTAGAGAGGCTGTATCAGAAAGGCAGCCCTTAGAGAGGCTGCAAATCATCTTCCCTTGATGACTCTGTTCCTTGAAGCACTCAGGGTCACATGACCTTTGGTTGTAGCCTGGATACCAGCTGTGCAGTTCCCCTACCACGTGAACTTTCTCCACAGGGGTGTCAATCTCTCCCCGAGGAGATCAGTCCCCGAGGCCCTGGTAGAATAAGTCTGGTTGCAATAATTTTATGTTACATATGGAATCTCATGAGGTATAACAGTGAATATGTTGGTTCTATTGGTTAAAAGCAAGTCACAAGGACGGAGTTACACCATGATGAGAACAGTAGGTATTGGGAAAATGGAAGCCCCTGGAGTCTGTTCAAAGTCACCCAAAAAGTTCAGTGTGCCATTCTGTCTGTATTTGAAAATTTCCAAAACATAATTTTATTATTATGTATTATTTCATTATTGCTTTAAAAATATCTGCCATATTTAAATTTTATGTAGGGAATGAATTTCTAGATCAAGTTAAAAATATTTATAAAGCTTCAGCTCAATAAAGAAATCTTTACTGAGGGGTCTGTGACTCAGGTTTTTGTAGACGTTTGGCTGCATATCCCATAAGCAGTTTTGGAATCTCCCCAACACTGGCTCAATGCATTTATGGCCTCTAAGTGTAACTAGCTGAGGGGGAGATAAGATAAGGTAAGCAGATAGTAACAGAAAATGACAAGTACTAAAGAATAAACAAATGTAACTTGCTCTGAAATGAAGAGGAGAGCCTGAGGTAATTTTCTGTATTTCAAGACTAGCTTCCCTTAAACAATGCAGTGTGCTTTGTGTTCATTTAATACAATGCCAATAAGAAGAGGATGAGTCAGCTCTGTCATCAAACCTCCACTGTTGGGAGCTAGAGTTCTGATAGATGTTGGTTAAAAAGATGGCAACAGGTTAAAGACAGCATCATGTCCTCCCTGGTGGGGTACTGGGTGAGGTCACTGTTAAAGGTGCCGGAGCTGGGGCTAGCCGGTCAATAGAATGTGGCTGAGTGATGCTGTGGGACTTAAGTCTGGTCAGCTTTTGTTTTCACACGCTTGAAGCCCGACCTCTTGGGACCCAGCAGCCATGTAAGGGTCTGAGTAGCCTTTCAGAGGAAAGGCTGCTGGGAGCAACCTCTGCAGCCATGTTCAGCCCAGCTCTGGCTATCTCTGATGTCCTAAGCACTCAGTTTTGGTGTGCTGTTCAGTATGAGGAAACTAAGACTTGAGCCACAGCATCCATAGGATGGTGCTGTCTCTCACATCTCTACCTAGCATCCGCAAGGGCAGAAGCAGGCAGTGGTAGACCAACTGTCTGCAAATGGGGATTATTTCACAGGGATTTAGTTGCCTCTGCCCCCCTTTCCTTATCTAAATAGGGCAAGACTTAGTTACCTTAGCCAATCTTCACAGTTATACAGTGAGGTAAATATTCCAATTTCAGTTTTATCTGGAGATATGCAAACTCGGGCAACTGGATGGTAACATGCTGGTCGGGATAGTACAAGTGTTTTGTGAGTGAGGCTGGGACTCGTAGCTAGCTAGCTCTGTCAGAATCCAAGGCCAAGGGAACACACACTTCTGAAATGCCACAGCTATAACTGTTTCCACAAACCATTTCAAACAGCATCCGAGTTAGAGGCCAGTGTGGTCTATGCAGTGAGTTCTAAGCCAGCCGGAGCTATAAAGCGTCAGACCCTGGATATCCCTCATTCGGCTCTGTCAATTGATGCCCCGAGTTTCTTGATGCAAAAGAGCCAGATAAGACAGACAGCCCATTAAGTGATGTGAATTAGCACCAGACCCCCACCCCCATCCCTCGAAGCTCTTCTCACACCCTTGACAATCTTAGCGCACTCACCTGAAGACATCAGCAGGACGGCCTGAAGCAGGGCAACTTCCGTGTCATCCAGGTTGAAAGATGACAGAGACATGCCCAGGTCAAAGATGGCATCTGACACCACCCCAAGACCCCCGTTTTTCAGCTGGCCCCGTGTCACTGCCATTTCCCCATTCAAGGTTAGAGTCTCGCTGTCTGGGTCATATCGCACAGCAGCTCGGAGGGACATGATCTCCATGCAGCAGCCTTTGAGGAGGATGATCTGGTCTTCACACGGCAGCTGAAAAGAAGCAGGCACATCAGCACAGAGCAAAGGCTGAGTGCCAGCTAGGGTGTTGGAAAAACAACCACAGAGCCTCGGTGGCCAATCTAGGTCTGCTTCCCTCACTCTGGCATTCTCTACCTGGAGCGACACTTACTTACGGCCATGTTTGTTTTGAGACAGTCTCCTGTGTAGTTCTGGCTGGCTTTGGAATTCACTATGCAGATTAAGCTGGCATTAAAGTAGTGGCAATTCTCCCGCCTTTGCCTCCCAAATGCAGGGGTCACAGGTATGTAATAACATGCCCAGATTACAACTACTTTTTAAAAAAATGTATATGAATGTTTGGACTGCACATATATCTATGCACCAAAAGAGGTCTTTGGATCCTTTGAATTAGAGGTATGGATGGATGTGAGCTGCCATGTTGGTGCAGGGTTCTCTGGCAGAGCAGCCAGTACTCTTAACTGCTGAGCCATCTCTCCAGCCCCCCCAATCACTGTTTTTTAAATCTCCAGGCTGGATAATCTCAGTAGTTTATATTTCTTTTAGCACAGTTCTTCAACTGGTGTTATAGGCATGCAGAAGCCTCCATCAGCCAACCCTTCATTTGGAAGTTTGTACAGTAGTTTTAGTCAAAAGTGGTGCTGAGCAGAACTCAGGTCAGTCTCTCTCTCTCTCTCTCTCTCTCTCTCTCTCTCTCTCTCTCTCTCT